AGGGTATTAGGGAATGATGGTAAATCAGTTGATGAGGTTGTGAATCTTCATCGACTGAGATGGTTGGGCCACGTGTTACGTATGCCCGAACAGCGATTACCACGTCGTGCAATGCTAACTGGTGTTAGGGATGGTTGGAAGAAAGTTAGGGGCGGCCAAACCAAAATGTGGCATCAGTGCTTGAAGTCACTAACTTCTAGTCTGAGCCATGTTGGTAGATGCAGACTACTTGGTTGGGGTCCGCGTGACTATCGTAACCAATGGTTGGAGACTCTTGGTGACATGGCTCAGAATCGATCACAATGGCGTCGGTGTATATACTCCCTGTCTTCCCTTAAACTAAGAGATTAAAATCGCTTCATATCTTTCTTTCTACGAACCAATTCTTTCTTCCTGTACTATATCCTTATTGCAACCTTTGACCTAAGCACTCCTATGAATCCGGTGTTCATCTTGCTGTGTTAATGAGGTATGGTAACCTGGAACGATGCACATATGTGCCTGGTCCTACGTTGTAGCTGACTGACTGACTGATGTGTGTTGCGTCTCCGAAACGCGCATACAGGACCCGAGTAGTGTCATTCACTTGACCTCACCATACAAAAATAATGAACCGACTCGATTCACACTTCGTGTATCTGGAAGCCATGATTCTGCTTCCCATGGCTTCGCTGGCGTAGGTAGGATCCCAGTAGACAGTCGTTTGTGCGCTGTCCGACTAAACGGAACAATAAGGATCCGAAAACATAGGGACACTCGTCGTTACCTCTTCGTCGTCTCTGCCTACTCTCCCACTGACTGCAGCTCAGACGATGTAAAAGATGAGTTTCACAGAAAGCTCTCCGACCTTCTCCGAAAAGCTAGGCGCTCTGATGTAGTAATAATGGCCGGTGACTTTAGTGCTCAATTAGGTAAACTAAGCGATAGGGAAAGACACTTGGGTGGATCTTATGGTGTCGCGGCTCAAAGAACAGATAATGGCGACCGTCTACCGCAGCTATTACCAGATAACCGTCTGTTTCTTACAAACACTAACTTTAAGCACAAGAAAAAACATCTTTTGACATGGCGAACCCCGAATTTGTCCCAACGTTGGACCCTAATAGATCACGACGCTATCAGCCACTGATGGAGGGGCTCGATAGAAGACTGTCACTCATTCCGGAGCACATGCTTAGATTCAGATCATTTTCTAGTGCGAGCGCGTATTTGTCTGCGTCTTACTGAACGTAGGAAAGACGCTGCAAGTAAACCTCTTAGAGCCCTCAGTCAGTCAGTCAACTACAACGTAGGACTAGGCACATATATGCATCGGTCCAAGTTGTCATACCTCATTAACACAGCAAGATGAACACCGGATTCGTAGGAGTGCTTAGGTCAAAGGTGGTAATATATAGGAGAAAGATTGCATATAAGGATACAGTACAGGAAGAAAGAATTGGTTCGTAGAAAGAAAGATATGAAGCGATTTTAATCTCTTAGTTTAAGGGAAGACAGGGAGTATATACACCGACGCCATTGTGATCGATTCTGAGCCATGTCACCAAGAGTCTCCAACCATTGGTTACGATAGTCACGCGGACCCCAACCAAGTAGTCTGCATCTACCAACATGGCTCAGACTAGAAGTTAGTGACTTCAAGCACTGATGCCACATTTTGGTTTGGCCGCCCCTAACTTTCTTCCAACCATCCCTAACACCAGTTAGCATTGCACGACGTGGTAATCGCTGTTCGGGCATACGTAACACGTGGCCCAACCATCTCAGTCGATGAAGATGCACAACCTCATCAACTGATTTACCATCATTCCCTAATACCCTGCGTCTAACCTCACTATTACTTACCTGGTGATCCCAGCAGACGCCAGCAATATTTCTGAGGCATCTGTGGTCAAATACTAGTAGCTTACAGGTGTCTTCTACTCTTAAAGGCCATGTTTCGCTGCCGTACCTAATGATAGTCAAGCTAAGAGTATATTTCAGGAACAATTAGAAAAACCGGTAGGTAGACATGTAAGTGAAGCCCACCGCGAGGCAACATGGAATGATGCCCGAAAAACTGTGGAAACTGCAGTGATATCTGCTAGTACGGTAACCCGTAAGGTTAGGGAGCAACACTGGATCTCAGCAGCATCTATCGCACTGATAGATGCTCGGAAACTCATCCCATCTGGCTCTGAACATAATGAGGAGCGTAGTCAGTTTAAGCGCAAGCTGATAAGAAGTCTACACAATGACCGTGAACAGTGGTGGGTAGCGAAAGCATGAGAGATGGAAAGGCAGCGGCAATAGGTAATAGTAGACAATTGTTCAGACTTGTTAAGGAAACCGGTATTAGGTAACCGACTGTTAGTGAAACACTCTCAGAGAAAGATGGACATATTATTCATTCTCAATCCAGGAGATTGGATCGATGGGCAGAACACTTAAGGGATCAGTTCAACTGACCTTCAGCCACACTTCGGTTTCGCACGATCTCCAGTCAACCTGAATGGCAAGTTAGTGTAGGTCCTCCGACTCTTTACGAAGTTGAAAAAGCCATAGGAAATCTGAAGCGAGGGAGAGCAGCAGGCCCTGACAGGTTTACTCCTGAGATTTTTAAGGATAGTGGTTCAGTATTAGCAGTGAGATTAACTGAGGTCTTAGGTAGAATTTGGGAATTGGACGTAATCCCATCTGACTGGTCTCAGTCACTGATTGTGCCAGTTTATTAGAAAGGACAAAAGTCCTCTTGTGACAATCACAGAGGAATCAGTTTGACTAATATAATGTCTAAAATATTAGCTTCAATAATTCTTCGACGCCTAACTAAAGCTCGTGAAGAGCAGACTAGAGAAAATCAGGCTGGTTTTCGACCTGGACGTGGTTGTATAAACAAGATATTCACACTACGTCAGGTCCTAGAACATAAACACACATTCAGACGCCCCACAATCGTAGTATTTCTCGACATTAAGGCGGCATTTGAAAGTGTTGATCTCGAGGTTCTGTGGTAGTGTTTGTCAATGAAAGGAGTACCAAAGAAGTACATTAGCCTTGTAAAGGCTCTCTATTTTCACACAACTGGTCGAGTGAGAGCTTATGGCGAACTGTCATCAGAATTGATTACATCAAGTGGTGTTCGTCAGGGGCTATCCACTCTCTCTATCCATGTTTAGCTTTGTCGTTAACACTTTCCACATCTAAATTTCCAGGGGTTGAAATTTTACCAGGAGATTCACTTGTTGACTTAGAATATACTGATGACATCGTTCTATTTGGTGAAGATGCTGACAAAATGCAGAGTCTTATGACCATTCTAAGCAACAATGCATGCATGTTCGAGATCCGATTCTCCCCCTCGAAATGCGAAATGTTGCTTCAGGATTGGGTTACTTCGACACCCGGATTAATAGTACGGGGTGAAGTAGTTGAGCGTGTCGATCGCTTCACTCATATTGGAAATCTCATCAGTCCTTGTGGTCTGGTGTGTGACGAAATCTCATCACGGATACAGAAGGCTCGATTAGCTTTTGCCAACTTGCGTCATTTATGGCGTAGGCGAGATATCCGTCTAACAACCAAATGACGTGTTTACTGCGCAGCAGTTCGTTCCTTCCTACTTTATGGCAGTGAAAGATGGCCGGTAAGAGTAGAAGATATTCGTAGGTTACTAGTATTCGATCATAGATTTCATCGAAACATTGGTCGTATATCCTGATACTATCGAGTAAATAACGCAGTTGTTATTACGTTTTTGATTGAGATCTCCACAACCCCCATACTAGTAACCAACATGTGCTAACTAGTGACTAGCTTCGTGAGGGAATTCTCGGAGTTCTAATGAGAAGCCGTGATCATTGGAGCTAATCCATGTCGGGTAGAGACAGGTATCTACCTCAGTACAATGGAAGTTGGTCGCGCAAATTTGTGGATTGGTTGATGTTAGACACTATCACCATTGGATGTCGGCTCAGTGGTCCAGTTAGTTAAGCGTTCGCGCGCGAGACCGAAGGCCCTGGGTTCGAATTCCGCGGGCGGGACCGTGGATGCGCGCTGCTGAAGGGCCCCGCAATAGGACGAAACAGCCGTCCATTGCTTCTAGGTTTCCAAAGGTGGTGGTCTAACATCAATCGGTTCATGATCTCAATCAAAGATATGAATGAGATCAGATATAGTAGATTTAGGGGTGGATATTGAATAAATTCCTCAAAAAAGGTTATCAAGTGTAAAGATAATAATAATAATAAGTTTGGGACATGAAATGAACATTAATCAGATTACGTCACCATATTATAAAATTAATTATTAACTAGTTGGCCCCAAAGTTGGCAAGGGTAAAGTGAGTGGCGGAACATACTTCTTTTGGATACAAATCTCTGGCTTTTTGATCCGGATAGCAATTGCTTCAGCCGTCTGTAGAATTCGCAGTCTGACGCAATTAGGTAGACTGCTGTCAACACGATAGATTATTGCAAACGATTGCTCTATGTTGGCTGTATGCCCTGTTTGAACTAGATGGTGTAAGATGGAGCTGCTAACAGTTTTTTCTACACCTTTGCTTAACCACACGGGGAGGTGCTCACGAACCCGAATGTATAAATTCCTAGAACATCTGCCGATATAACTTGCTTCACAGGAGCAGTTGAATTGATGGATACAGAATGAAGTGGTTAGTCTAGGTAATTTATCTTTCAACCTCGGAGTGAATGAAATATTTCATAATCACATTTGATTTGACCTACTGAACCCCATAATTATACCAGGAATTCAGAACTTCTTTTTTTCAATGTTATTCTAAGATTACTAGATTAAGCATTTATGTCGACTGAAATTTGTTTATCACTTAGCTACATCTTCAGTACCGTGCGTGCTCTTTTTGAGAACTTCCTACTTATTGTCAGACAGCCATCGAAAATTATCATTTAATCGGTCTGACTATTTTAATTCATCGTTCTATGAACCTAGTTACGTTAATATGTTTGTGCTACATATTCGTCTGTAATGTTTTGTCTGTACAGGTTCCTGCTCCTCCAGTATCTTCTTCGGTTGCCACGCATACTGCAGTGAAATTTATTTTGGATGCAGCTAGAGGAAAGCCACGTGATCAACGAATATGGATATCTCTGGCAAACGAATTTATGGTGGCTTCACAAAACCAAGGGAAAGCTGTCAAATACAAGGTTGAATTACATAAACAATGTGAAGAGAATCGTGCATATGCTAATTTTAGATCACACTAACTAATTTCCTTCCAAACTTCGTTTTTCTATAGAAATCGTACGCTTGTAAATATCCATTCGTTACAATAGATACTTACTTTTATAAACATATCTTTTCTTGTATACATTGTGCTTTAAATTAACTTCCAAGAATATTTGCTTCAGTGTTTGCATTAGAAAGTCTGTCTGATGATTATCCACTGTTTTCAAATAAAATTAACACTATCTTCTGTTGAAGTGGTGGGCTACTGTGCCCTAGTTCGTTGGAACTATTGAACAGCTGAACAACAGAATTGCTTTAGTGTAGAAGAACATTCTTGCTAGTGTTAGAATCCTGCTTCTATTTTAGGTTTCCTATAAACTTATAGTTTGTGGCACTGTTTTGGGTTTTCATATGAACTTTTCCGCTCAGTCTTTTTGATCAAAAGCTATGCAGTTTATTCACTATATATAGTCATGTAACAGTTTTCCTTAATAATCTGTCTTTGAGAAAATGTGTTTAGTGTTATAGTGTAAAATCGTGCCATTCAGAATCAAACCCATATTAAAGGGAAGATATTTGCATGAAACTCAGTGATAAATTCCGCTAGTGTTTAGAAAAATTATATTCAAAATAACAGTAATAATAATATATGAAACTAGGTTTCACAAAATGGCATAGTGTACAAAGTTTTGGAATTCCAATTAATTTCAAGCTGGAATTTTAATATTTGATTCTAATGTTTAACTGTTATGCCAGTATATTATCTTTTCGTTGTGAGATATAATAAATGTCGAGCATTATTTTTTTAGCCTAACAATACTGAAAAATGCTAATTCACAGCAATCTGCGCGTCTTATCCTCATCCAAATGGTTCGATTTGTTGAATCTTAAGTATGACTACAAGCGCTGTCTCCATGCGCATACTTATGCACAACATATAGGTAGTAATCTTAAAGCGAAAATTTCAGTCAGTGATCCACCTATCGCAACAATACGAAATGTTGGTTTAATTGCTCATATCGACGCTGGTAAAACGACTACTACAGAACGCATGCTTTATTATGCTCGTAAGCGTTTAGCTTGATATATTATGTTGTCTCTTTATTTTGCATTTCATTGAGACATCTGTATAAAATTGTGGTATTTCTATCAGATCAGTCACATATAAAGATTGAAAGCTTCTAGCGTTTACTAGGTTCTTCGTAAATTAAAAGTAAATGATACATAATCATATTTCATATATCTATGTGTGTACTCTGTTTCCATGCCTGTTAGCCGGTAACTGAGTGCAAATGTTGTTTTTTTAAATGTTTCTAAAGTAACACAACCAATAAATGATAAAGGTGTTCTCACATAAAACAGTTCCACGAAAAGATTTGTGATTACACCGCTTCGTAAAAACAACTATCTTACATGTTACTAAATATTTTTATATAACTGTCAATTGCATAATATAAGGTGGTATGTTAACTCCAAATGTGTTGTCAACTGCTGATCACCGAAGTTGTTTCAATGTAAATAGTTCATTGAGTTGCATTATGCTAAAAAAATGTTTTTCTTGTGAAGAACTTTTTAAGTTAAAACGTGTTTGGATGCCTATACGGCATATACAATTAATGATCCTATGCCTTTCACTAGGATGGACTTTATTTTATAAACTCGTGAGCTGACATTCAAAGCTGTGGCTATATGTACAATCTCCGTCGATCTACTTCTGTTCAGCTACCCTTCACACAGTAACTGAGTTTTGTAACCTGTATGCATTTGTGTGTGCTTATAAAATAGATTTAAAAAATATATTTATATATAACCATTGACTCGTGCATGAGATAAATGTATATAACAGGTCAAGCGATTCCATGATTTAATGCTTTTGCTTACTAGTCGTGAAGAGTTATTTCCTCATCATGCATTTTTCATGATATTTTTTGCAAATTTCTTGTTGAAGATTGTTTACGACTGTCTGGGTAAAGTGTAAAGGTGGTTATTTTATGACAAAGCTGTGGAATTCAGGATATTTCTATCTAGTTTATATATATATTGTCTTATCACTCCTTCATCTATGAGGTGTATGCAACTCAGTTATTTGGAACTTATTCAGACATGGACCGGAATTAAAATTAGTGGCCACTGCGTTGTTTTGCTTTCTTGCTCTTCTTAAGCACTAACATGTAGGTTAAGATAATGAATTTTATCTTGTATTCGTATTCAAACTTCATCCATGAGCAAAATTGCTATCGTTACATGAATTCATGTCTTATTGCTTTATTATTATTATTATTATTGTTATTTATTTATTCATTTATTTATTTATTTGAACACATAGATATTGGTATAAAGAGGCACCGAATACATATGCACCACAAAAATCTCATTTGATTTGTGTGAGAGCTGTGATACTGCCCGGGTGCCCAAATCGAAGCAGGTGGTTTTCTTAGACGGCCACACACGGAACCTTCGACCTAAAGTTCTGATCTACAAGGTAGTGGAGCAACGGTAGGAGATGCAGTCCTATGGTAGCCGGTGACCAACAATTCGTTCTTACACCATTTGTTCCTTCAGGATCCATGAAGCCCACGTGCACCATTGGTTCGGAATCAGAGTTTTTCAGCTCCCCTAGGTGGACTCTCAGTCTCCACTAACCCGGTTAAAGTGCCAGACATTCGCTTTTCGTCCTCTCAGTTTCGTAAACAATACCCCTACCGCGAGAAGGCGATGAGTAGGACTTCCCTGGCAGAGGCTATATACGCGTGGCCATGTGAGAACATTTCGAGAGGGAGAACGGACTCTCCTCACTCTCGGCCGTACCAGGGCATTTAGGGGCTTATTGCTTCATAACCATTATCGTGGTGCATTTCGTAACACCCTATTCTACCAATCATTTTTGTCTTAAACATGCTGAAACTACTCTGTATTTTAACTGATAGTATTTAGTAAATTATCAAGTAGGACGTTTTTGATGTATTCTTTCTTCTATCATTGCCAAAGAAATGCTTTATCCCAGAGCTTATAAATAAGAGCGTGAGTAAAATATTTATTCGTTTGTTAGTAGAAATTAATAAGCGTGTCATATAAATAATTTTTTATTCACTTGTATTGTGTTAAGTGATTCTCTGGAGATGGTATTTTGTATCACAATTTAACACTAGCTGAAGAAACATTTTTATCAACACTTCTGTAGTTACGTATACCTCCAAAATTAAGTGGGGAAATTGAAATAGCATCTTACCTAATTAGAGCTTTAGAATCACTCTCAGGTTTCAAGCTACATAGATTATGTACTGGCTACTAACAATAAATACCTGACCTGTCCTATGATCTAATACTGTTATTGTTATTTTCAAGTTTCCTGATATACCAAAGGCGATGGAGTAGTGCATGCATCTATTGTTGTTCAGAGTCTTATTTTATATATATGCCCTCCACCTCTTTATTGTCTCATCAAGAGTTTTTGGAGGGGCGACTCTGTGATTATGATGTTCGACTTTCAGCTGTTGTGTTTGAGATTCAAAACTCGTTTCATTTTCTACGGTTAGGGTAACCAGATAGTATCATTGGCCGTCATACTTAAAGTGTGGCTTGAAGCCAAGTACACGAATCAGTAAAATGAATTATAATGTACCGCCCACTTGTCGATATTGTAACAAGTAGACCAACGTTCGAATCATTCATCAAATGGCTGCCTGTGTGTTGCCTGAACTACTGAATCACATCTTTTCGATAAAGCTAAACCCGTCGTATGATAATGCAAATTTTAACCTAATGTAGAAACGTTCATATGGTGCACAATTTATTCATCGCTCTATGTGGATCAAAGTGATTGCTTGGATTGTTTGATCGTTCAGTTTATATCTATTTAGTATCTAATGTTGATGTCGCTACAGCCAACTTACTTTAAGATTACTATTCAGTATTTACCCTACATTCACTTTGTATTTATTTCCAGCCCATTTTCTGTATTTATGCTCATGACTCGCCATTGATTCTACGAAATAATTACGTGCTTTTAATAATTTAGGACGTATACACTATCTCGGTGAAGTGGATCATGGAGATACTGTGACTGATTACTTACCAGAAGAACGTGAACGTGGTATAAGCATTGTTACTGCATCAGCTTCTCTGTCTTGGAGAAATCATATAATTCACTTGTTGGATACTCCAGGACATGTAGACTTCACATTTGAAGTTGAACGAAGTCTAACTGTTTTAGATAGTGTTGCCGTTATATTGGATGCGGTCAAAGGTGTTCAACCTCAGACACATACTGTGTGGTGAGTACTTGTTTCATTTTGCAATTTGGCGCTAACTGCCCATCTTCTGGTAATTGATAGTTGTATAAGTCAATTCGCGCGCGAGACCGATAGGTCCTGGGTTTCTAATCTCGCGAGGCGGGATCGTGGATGCGCACTGCTGAGGAGTCCTATACTAGGACGAAACGGCCGTCCAGTGCTTCCAGGTTTTTCATGGTGGTCTAGCTTCAATTGACTCATGAATTCAACTATTAAATAAGTAAATTTATTTATTTTCCTTTAATTCATACTTTAACGAGTTACTGTTTAAAAGTTTTTTTCACGAGAAATTCTGCATAGGATACCCCTTTTTTACTGTGATACATAGCTACCAAGATTAGTAATGCCTTCACATTTGATAAAATCATCAGTGGGAGGTAATTCATGATTATCTTGGAATTAGTTAATCTAAAAGTCATAGATCACTAAATTTCGCAAAGAATATTTCCAGACTAAAATAACGGACCTGCATTACTCGTAACTCTGTATACTATTACAAGTTGATATTTTAGTTTGAGCCTAATCTTAAGGGGTTTGTGGGGTTGCAAATACAATGTTTTGATATAGTCTATAATATCGCATTTTTTCCTGTTATCCACCTTTTTTTTCGTATCCTTTTCTCTCAAGTCGCCAGGCCCATCGTTACTGTCTTCCATGTCTAATCTATATCAATAAAATGGACCGCCCAATGGCTAACGTCGATCTCTGCTTACGCAGTTTATCTAAACAGCTGCCTACAAAAGCACATTATCTGCCTATTCATTGGCCAGTATTTTCTCATAGTCTTAATACAGATAACACATCATCATTAATTAATGCTTCGAATACG